GTCACGTCGGCCTTCCTGGAGGACCGCCCCCATCTGGGCTGGAGCGCGGGCCGCATCGAATCGCGTCCCATTCCATATCGTCGGATGCCAGGGAGGAGGATTACAACAAAAAAACGAAACAAAAACGGCACAAACAGAAACTCTTGGCGCTCCGCGCGGATTTCTTGGACCTGAGCTGGGCCTCCCTCACGGGCGCGCGGCGCGCGCCAGGGGCGCCGCCGGAGGCGCCGCCGATGGGGCCCCAGGCGCCGAGCCAAGACGCCCGCGCGGAGCGCCAAGAGTTTCCTGTTCGTGGCGTGTCTGCTTCCTCGAACCTCGCCGGATGCCGGGGAGGATCGAGGGACCCAGGAGCGAATGGGGCGAGGCTCGGAGGATCTGCCTTCGGCTGCACGCCAGAGTGGCCCTGGGGAAGAGTGACCTCTGGTGCGCGGCTTCTTTGGGGGGCCGCGGGGAGAGACCAAACCTGGGCGCGCAGGCCGCTGCCACCGCTTCGTTTTCAGCCATCCGAGGGCCCATCTGCGCCCACACCAAAGGTCACTCCGGCGAAAGGCCACTCTCGGCGGTGGACAAGCTTCCCTTTAGCAAACCTCCCCTCAAAGAAAACGGCCTGGGACCGAAACCGACGGACCTGGACCGCAAAAATGACGGCCGCGACGCCCTCTCGCGAACCGAAAACACCCACCCACTCTTTTGGTCCTTGTTCGCGACAACGCCCGCGCCCGGCCCCGCCCGACCGGCCCGCGCCGCGCGGGAAGCTTGGCCGCTCCACGGAGTTGCCAGGAGTGCCCCTGGCCCCAGGCGCTCCCAGGATTGTCAAGGAGGCCCTCACGGCCTCCAGAGCACACCCCACGAGGCCCATGGGGGCACCAGGGGCTCCAAACTGGAGCGAAAAGCTGGGGGCACCTTGGGCCAGGGGCACCTCTTCTAGCAACCCCCGATAGGCGGTCCCAGACGGCGCTGGCGCGAATCGCGACGTGACCGGCCCCCTCCTCCCTGCCCTCTCCCCCCGGTGCCACACGTTACAGCCAAGGACTAAAAAACACGCTCGAACAGAGCAGATCTCCGAAAGATCCCCTTGTCTGAGGCCGCCAACATCGCCGCAAAAGGCTCGGGGGGACAAACCCTGGAGGGGCTTAGAGCTCGGGGCGGTGGTGGCTCTCGGGGCGGCGCCGAAGGCTAGCGTCCCCTGACGCAAGGAACGCATCGCCCAGGACGGGGTCCAGCAAGGATTTTTCTGAGGACGACGACGACGACGACGACGACGACGAAAAAGGAAAGACTCACGGCCCCAGGGAATCCGACGGAGGCCCAGGAGGAGGGCGGAGGCAGAGGCATGAGACAGTGGGCGGCCATGCCGAGAGGGGGCACGACTCTGCTTGCATGTGGCCCCTTCTGTGCCTGCATGCGCATGTCATGCCCTGCTTCGCACTTCGCACTCTGTGGCTGCAGACGTTCCCCAGGGGCGAAGGGCGTCTGCTCTGGACACGCCCCGTGGCCTGAAGCGCAGTGATCCTCCCCAAAACCTCGCCTGCCTTCTGGGGAACCCGGAAGGTACCGATGCCGCTGCTCCCAGGACCTCCCCCCCGGGCTGCGCTCTGCCAAGATTTTCGAGGCGAGCTCCGCCGTGGCGACGAGGGCCTTCCAGGAGGCCCGAGGAGGTGACATCGATGAAAGGCAAAGAGATATGGGTACCCCGTCCTCCCCTGAGCCTTCGAGCTCATCGGGAAGGGTCAACACAAACTCCGAAGAGGAGGAGGAGGAGGAGGAGGAGGAGGAGGAGGAGGAGGAGGAGGTGGGGGAGGAGAAGGAGGTGGAGGAGGAGGAGGAGGCAGACAGGAGGAGGAGAAGGATGAGGGGGAGGAGGGGGAGGTGGAGGAGGAGGAGGAGGAGGAGGAGGAGGAGGATTAGCGTAACCCCTGGTCGGCCAGGGCCCTGTCGCGAACCCCGGCCGGGTTCGCCTATCAGCTCCCAAGCCCGCGCCCGCGGAGGGCGGAACGAGGGAGCATATCGGCCCCACGTGGCTCCCAAACCCGGGTCGGCCAAAGGTTCGGTGGCAACTCCTGGGAGCCTCCCATGCGCTCGTGTCGGCTCTTGCGAACCGACGCTCATCGAAGCTCCATCGACGCTGGATCGACGCTCACCGACGCCAAGTTTTTGCGCTATCTCATCGACTCGCTAACGCGAATCGATGCTGACGACGGGCTTGAAAGGGCACACCAAGCTCCCATGGTTTGCTGCCGAACAGGAGGGATTGGTCGACCCCGTCAGGGCTAACCGCCGTTACTGGAGGCCTCCTAGATGGGGTCCGAGTAGATGGGGTCGAAGGATCGCGACGCATCGCCAATGCATCGCCGATGTATCGGCGATGCATCGGCGACGTCGGCATAAGGAACATCGGGCTCCACATCGAGCCGCATCGCCGATGCATCGGCGATGCAGCGCGGTCCTCCGACACCATCTACTCTTACGTCGGGCATGCCCCCCTAGGCGGACTCTGGACGATAAATAAGAAATAGCCCCCCCCCACAACCATTAATATAAATGATCAACAATAAAGAAAAAGAAAAAACGTCCCGAGACTATTTGTTTGACAATTTTTGCATACTCCTCCTGCATACTCCTGCTCCGATCCCATCAAGGAGGCCACGAGCTGCGCCAATGCCCGCCGGGCGTGCGCCCCGCCCACGCGCCATGCAGATCGCACCCGGCGACCCCGCCGAGCGGCTGCGCGGCTCCCGAGATCCCGGCCCTCTACGGCCCGGCAATTTTCTGGGCGCAGGCGCTGACGTCCTGGGGCTTAAGAGATGCAGGCCTGGGTGGGCTCTCAGCATTGTTTGCGTTTGTCTGTCCAGGGGGGCAGGATTTGTCCGCCCCGTCCCTGTGCTCCTCGCGCCTTCTGGGCATGCCTAGGATGAAGATACCGCGCTCCAGAGCGTTCTGGAATGTTCTGAGCTCGGCAGCGTGCCGACTTCTGCGAGGGTTTCTGACACCGCGGGGATCGTTCAAACTTGAACGAGCGGCCGTTTCCGAAACGCGCAAGTCGTTCCACACCGAAAGATTCTGGGTCGCCCGCGGCGTTCAGAATTGAACGCCACTGGCGGGGTCGCCGCCGGTCGACACGACACGAACCTAATTACCGTACGCCCTCCGAGCAAAAAATGAGGACTTCTGCGTAAGACGGCGGCGGCAGCGGTCGTCGTCGCCGGGCATCCCCATCGAATGCAAGCTCGGGAACGCTGCCCAGGCGACGAAGCAGGCAGTCTTGGGGAAGGAAGGAGGGCCTAAGCGCAAATTGGGCGGCTGCGTGCCATCCTCGGAAAACATAAATCCCCGCTCCCCGATCAAATGCAGATAATCACGCCGGACGATTCAAGCACGCTGGTACAAGGTTGATCAGTATCGTGCTGACGCTTCGTCCCTTGCAGCACTCTTCTGAACTATACTGGCGACTGAGGATGTGCAAGAACCAATGGACATATGGACGCACTGCCCCAGCACAAGTGTTTTTGAGGGGGGGAGAGGAGATGCGACATCCCAGCAACACAGGGAGGCCAGCGCGATGTGTTCGAACTGCCTCCGATTAAGCGCACGACAGCCACGAACACATACTTGTAAAGCCAACCCCTGGACCCCGGTTCATCCTGGTCGGCTTTCCATCTCCCCGATCGATTCTTGACGGCCCCCGATCTCGAAACGGAGCTCCAGATGCCGCCAAAACTAACAAACACCATTCGAATAAAGTGAGGGCATTGGGTAAGCAACCATTGGATCAGAAATCCAGGATCTGAAAGCAGGTGGAACACCAATCGTGGCCTTGCCATGGATATCACCACCGCCCTCGTCAGAAAAGGAATCATCCCGAGTCTGCAGCCGCCTGGAACTATTCCTTAACGAACGCCAACACCATATCCATTCGGGCGTTGCCTCATGGGGGGGAGTGACAGGAGTGATAGAAGCCTTCTAGATGGGGTCCGAATAGATGCGCCGCATCGCCAAAGCATCGCTGGTGTATCGGCGATGCAGCGGCGATGCTTCGGCGACGTCGGCGATACATCGGCGACGTCGACTTGGGGAAACACGGGCTCCACATCCAGCCGTATCTTCGATGCATCGGCGATGCGGCGCGATCCTCCACCTCCATCTAATTACCCATACCCCCGACGTCATGTGAAATATATATTTATTCTTATCACATCGACCCCCAGAAGCCGGGACCCTTTCCCTGGGACTGGTTTCCCGTCCCGAGGCGTCCTTTCCCGGCCCCGGGGCCCGGCGAGCGCCCCCAGAGGGCGAAACTTCCGGAAAACCTGCCGCCATGATTTCTTCATGGCCACAGTGGGTCTGTGAAGGGGCCCCAGGACACACAAATAAATACACACAAGCAAAAATATCCCCCATATTTTCGCATATTTTCTGGGTTTCTGTCTTCCCCCCCACTTCCCATATTTTCCCATATTTTCTGGGGAATCGAGGATTACTTGTGTCTGTGTGTTTCTTTTCCTCCTGAGTCTGGGCCCTCGGACCCCACCGGGGAGGCCTTGCGGTGAGGGAGGGCGCGCCTTTCTGCGAGCCCCTCCACATGAGGCCCTGTGGGGGGGGCCCCTTTCTACGAGGCCCCGCTCGAGCTCCTGCAGCCCCCGATGCCACGCCCATTCGTCGCCCTGGTGCACTGGTGCACTCCTGGAGCGCGTTTCTTTCTTGTCGGCGATAATGGGCATTATAGGGGGAGGGGAGAGGCCAGGGGGGGGGATAGTGTAACGCCTCCCCCCCGCCGTGCGCACGGCGGCAGTGCCCGGAGCGTACTGGGGGGGGAAGGGCGTTACGGTATGGGGGGGGGAGGGGGGGCCGGGGGCGACAATGCCCATTATGCCCCAAGCAGTGAAGGAACACTCTCCCGAGTCCACAGGTCCACTCTAGGAGCAGAAAAGGGACAACAGCACGGAGACGGCCGAAGAGTCAGAGGGAGCACCTGCGGAGAAGAAGGAGGAAGGCCCGAGAGGAGGGAGGGCCAGGCCGCATCGCAAGAGAACTCCCCGCCGAGCTCCCCAGCCTGTCCTGCGGGGACGCGCTGCCTCGGGTCAATGCTTGTGGATGCCACGACAATGGACACCCTAACAGTCCTGTCATCGACTTAAGAATGTGTTTAAAGTCTCGGAAAATGCCCTCAAAATGTTTAAACCATGTTTTGGTACATGTTTTTAAACACTTGTAGCACATTTTCTAGACATCTGGGAACTATTTGGCAACGTGCTTCCTCTCCACTTCTCGTCCTCCACAAGTCAATGCAAACTCGGGCCAGCCAGGCTTTGCAAAATGGTTGCAAGATGGCCGCCCCCCATACGAAAAACCACGAGTGGCCATGCTGAGCATTCCTTATCAGTTCTTGGACAGAGAACTGTCAAGGAATGGCTACATTACCACTTATGTTTTTGCGAAGGAATGTCTAAGACAGCAACTTGCGAAGGAATGTCGTCCAAAATCTGCCGTTCGCCACGTCGTTTAGTTGCAGCGTCGCATGCGCCGCCGATAAGGGGGCGTCGGCAAAAAACGTAGGAACAGCGATGAGGGCCGGCACTACATGTTTTTAACAACTGGCGTTTTCGCCCACTTTCGGGCCCAGAGACCCTCACATATCGATCTGGCTCGACACATGCCGCAGAAAGATGGAGTCCTGGGCTCCGCTGTTGAGTTTGTGCGATGTTGTAACTTTTTGGCAGCGCCGGATCTCACGGGATCCTCAGAGGCCTCCTTGATGGGGTCCGAGTAGATGGGGTCGAAGGATCGCGCCGCATCGCGCCGCATCGCCAATGCATCGCCGATGTGTCGGCGATGCAACGGCGACATCGGCGTGGTGAAACACGGACTCCACATCGAGCCGCACCGGAGGAGGAGGAGGAGGAGGAGGAGGAGGAGGAGGAGGAGGAGGAGGAGGAGGAGCAGCAAGAGGAGGAGGGAGGGTTGAGTAGGAGGAGGAGGAGGAGGAGGAGGAGGAGGAGGAGGCACCGCCGATGCATCGGCGATGCGGCGCGATCCTCCGACCCCATCTGCTCGGACCCCATCTAGGAGGCCCCGAATCCTGCAAGATCCTGCAGGACCCTGCTGCACCCCTGGCTCTGCAGGGCCGACCACATCGGCGAGAACGGCGGCCACGCCGGCGTAGAGGCGCAGGCCGTGCTGGGCGCGTGGGGCATCATCCACCTCCAGGACAAACCGGACCCAATTCAACCTCTTCGAGCTGGTCGCGCCAGCAAAAGCCGTCCCTGGCAGGCCCTCGAGACCAGCCGCGATCTCTGTGTCAGTGCAAGACACCTGCGCCATGATGCCAGGGACAGCGAAGCAAGAGACTGCAAGATCCGGCGCTCTGGCTGACCCCCGTTTGCATTGCCCTCCGTCTCTCGAGCCCCGATCTTCAAAGCTCGATCCTCTCCGGGCCTGACAGCGCCGCCGCCAGAGTTCTCCGCCAGGGCGCCCCGCGGCAGGCGCCGTACCTGCCCCCCCCACTCCTGGGCTCCCAATGATACAGCCTCAGATCCCTTCTCAGATCCTGCCTAGGTGCTTCAGATCCGCATTCGGCTTCATCATCATATTCATCATCATCATCATCATCATCATCATCATCATCATCATCATCATCATCATCATCATCATCATCATCCATCATCAGAAGCATCATCAGCAGCATCATCACCCTGATCATCATCACCACCACCCAATACACCACCATCATCATCACCATCATCATCAGCAACATCACCATCATCATCATCACCATCATCAACACCGAAACCATCATCAGCATCAACAACATCATCATCAGCAACCACAGCATTCTCCTCCTCATCATCATCACTTCCACCACCAGCATCATCATCAGACACATCATCAGCAGCATCATCACAATCACCATCATCATCATCATTACTATCATCACCATCACAATCACCATCAACATTACCATCACCATCATGATCACCATCATCATCGGCAACAACAACACCATCATTACCACCATCGCCATCGTCACCATAACCGTCACCATCATCATCACCATCACCATTATCGTCATCACCAATAGCAGCATTTGCATCATCATCACCACAACCATCATCACCATCACTATCACACCATTACCATCACCACCATCATCAGCAACAACATAAACATCAACATCAACATCAACATCATCATCATAATCATCGGCATCATCATCATCATCATCATCATCATCATCATCATCATCATCATCATCATCATCATCATCATCATCGTAACCACCATCATCACCACCATCAACAACATCATCAGCACCATGAAAATATCAACAACTTCCGGCACATCTGCGCTCATGGATCTGCAACGGAAGGGCGTGCAGCGCACAGGCTATACCTCTCAGAGGTGGTTGGTGGCCGCGCCAGGCAGGACGAAGGCAGGAGGCCGCGAGCTGGGGAAAGGGCGGGGAGTGGAGTCGAGAGGAGAGGGGGAGACCAACGACTGTGGTTCGAGGATGGAGGGTAAAGGCCTTTGGAGAAGAAAGGAGGGGGAGAAAGGGAGGAGGAGAAAGGAGGAGGAGAAAGGGAGGAGGAGGAGGAGGAGGAGGAGAAAGGGAGGAGGAGGAGGAGGAGGAGAAGGGAGGAGGAGGAGGGGGAGGAAGGAGGGAGGAGGAGAAAGGAGGAGGAGAGGAGGAGGAGGAGGAGGAGGAGGAGGAGGAGGAGGAGAAGGGAGGAGGAGGAGGAGGAGGAGGAAGGAGGAGGAGAGGAGGAGGAGGAGAGGAGGGAGAGGGAGGAGAGGGAGCAGAGGAGGAGGAGTAGGAGGAGGAGGAGAAGAGGAGGAGGGAAAAGGCGGAGGAGGAGGAGGAGGAGGAAGAGGGATTCGAGGATTCTGGGGATATGGGTTGGCCTCCCGCGCGCCCTTCGTTGGTTGGGGCACGAGGTCCAGGCAGTGGAAGAGGGCGGCAACCGACGACGCCAGGAGGAGAAGGAGGAGGTGGAGCAGGAAAAGGAGCAGGAACAGGAAGGGCCACGCGGGGGGGGGGGGGGGGGAACGGCAGGATTAGGAATTGGAGGGGGTGGGGAAAAAAGAGGAGGGGAGGGAGCAGGGAGCGAGGGTGGAGGAGGAGGAGGAGGAGGAGGAGCAGAAGTAGGAGGAGAAAAGGGCCTTGGGCGCCTGCTAGACAACCAACGGTCCTGGGCTCTTGGGAAGTCTCTGCCTAAGCAAGACTCTGAAAGATGCCTGTCGGCCCGGGGATCCCCCCCCTGTCACGAGGGGGAGGATGGACGAACGCAGCGTGGGGAGGAGGCAGATGATGAATCGAGAGCCGGGCTGAGTGGACGACATGAGACGCAGGCGGGAGGGCGGAGGGGGAGACATCAAATGAGGAGGAGGGAGAGGAGAGGAGGGGGCGGAGAAGAGTCGGAAGGGAGGAACAACAGATGCATTACAATGCGAACGGGCACCAACATGACCCCTTGAAACAGCCGCGGTGGATCAAGAGAGGCACGGCGGCCTGTTCAAGCGGCGGACCAGCTTCTGCGGCAGCACGACAACGTCGCGCAGCGTGCCGAACGCGAGGTGGCGCCGTACTTTGGGGCCTTCCGCACTGGCCCCGCAAAGGGCAAGACGACGATTGCAGGTGCGCTTGTACACAGAGACCCATATCCGGCCAGCACAATGGCCAAGCTGTTGCCCAACACTTGTCCACACGCTCGCTGGCCAAACAGGCAGGGGAGCGGCGGTGACTCGCCGCAGGCTGCTCAGATCCACCGCCTTATGCGACCTAGCCACAGGGCTGCTCGGCGAGCCGAAATCTAGCTGATCCTCCTCGTGGGTCATTCGTACTGCAGCGCACCCAGATACAGTTAACGCGCCTGTTTGAAAGGAGGAGGGGGAGGAGGGAGGAGAAGAGGAGAGGAGAGGACGCGGGCGCTCTCTCCGAAAAGAGGGCCCCACATCTAAGGATGGTTGGACACCGCAAACGCCACACGCCAAGGATGGTTGGAACCCCCACAACCAAGGCTGGTTGGAAACCGCAAGCTCCTTCCGTTCCTCCTGCTCCTCCTCCTCCACCTTCTCCTCCTCCTTCTTCTTCTCGTCATCGGGGGGCGACCGCACTGGCATTCCTATAAGCTTACCACGACATTTGCTTAGAATCATGAGCAGAAAGCAGATATATGAAAACATGACAGTATGAGCCAGACGTGTTCTAAGAACATGTCGTGCGAACCACAACGGGTTCGTAGAGCATCCCTTGGCGGGCCCACAGGCGAGCCAGGACGCCTCGCCACTGCTTGAGCTGCTGGCGTGGGCCTCCTCCCCTGCTCCTCCTCATCTTCCTCCTCCCCCTGCTCCTCCTCCTCCTCCTCCTCCTCCTCCTCCTCCTCCTCCTCCTCCTCCTCCTCCTCCTGCCTCCTCCTCCTCCTCCTCGTCCTCCTCGTCGTCCTCCTCCTCCTCCTCCTCCTCCTCCTCCTCCTCCTCCTCCTCCTCCTCCTCCCCCTCCCGAAGGCCACAAAAGTTCCGCGCCTTCGGCGTCCGAGCTCCCGCTGCCGGCGGGGACCTCCTCGAAGGGGGGGCCAGGGGGGAGGGGGAAGCGGGGGCCCGCCCGCGGGCGCCGCGGGCGCCGCGGCTGCAGGCCCAGGCTCCGCCGAAGGTCGGAGGCGGGAGGAGGGCCAGAGAAGGGGGGGGGCAGGCTGTATAGAAGGAGGAGAAGAATAAGAAAACACATAAACATAAACTTTTGGCCCTTCGCGCTGATTTTTTGGATCCGAGCTGTGCAGCCCTCCCTGACGCGCGGAGCGCGCCAGGAGCGGCGCCAGAGGCGCCGCCAGGGGGCCCCAGCGCGGATCCAAGAAATCCGCGCGGAGCGCCAAAACAGTATGTTTATAGCGTTTTCTTCTTCGACTACCGGCGCCTGTTTTTTTCGACTCCGGCAAATTTGCTTGCATGGACGGGGCGGGGGGGTGGAGCCTGAGCCGGAAGCAAGCCGCAAAAGACCTGCGCGTGGTGCGGAGGAATCACGCAAGTCGAGAGGCACTTGCACGCTAGTATTCTTAGTATTCGTTTGAAGAGGGGCGAGGGGAGGGGGGGGAGGCAACCGCCATGCAAGTAAACTTCCTAGAATCGAATAAAACACCAGCTCTAGGCGCGCTCGTGCCCTGTCTGACATCTGGTAGGGGGACAAACAGGTAGAACCCCTTGGTGTTCGTCCCCGTGCTCGTTCCACCCCAAATTCCAAGCTTGGTCGGGCCAAGCGAGGGCCCTGAGGGTTCCACTTTTTGTATGTCCTCTCACGTCTGTGCTGCCGAATGCCTGGGACCAACTTTGCATCTGGGGGGGGCGGAGTGGAGAGATCCACTTTTTGTGTCCATCTACGGCAGAGGAGGGCCGGGAGAAGGGGGGGGAAAGCTAGGCGCACGCGCGCCATGCCTGACATCCCACCCCTCCCGCCCATCCTTCGCCTTGCGCTGATGTGTCTTCATCCGCGGAGGCGTGTCGTAGCGGACCTGGAGTCCCTGATGGAAGCCCACCGTGCTACCGTGCTATGCCCAATCGGAGAAGGGGGTCTGCGTGCATGGGCAGAGGGGGAGGGCAGAGGGGGAAGGGCGGGAAACTCCCTTTGGGACCAAAAGCGTTCGAGGGGTGAAACCAAATTGGGCGGCGCCGTCACGCGGGCAGTGCCACTGGCGCCGTTGGTGGAGCTCCTCCTTATGGGGCCACGGGGCGTGAGGTGTGCCAAAATGAGGTGGCGCCGCCATGCGAACGCAGACATTCAAGCCCTGCGACTCTTCTTGACGGTCCCGAGGCCCTTCGGGGCCCTCGGCGGCGAGGAGGAGCGCGCCTCCCCGCCCCCTCCTCCTCCTCCTCCTCCTCCTCCTCCTCCTCCTCCTCCTCCTCCTCCTCCTCCTCCTCCTCCTCCTCCTCCTCCTCCTCCCCCAGGAGGCTGGAAACAGCGACAGAAAACTCCCGTCGTGATTTGCTGTGCCAGGCGCGCGAGGGTCCGAGGTCTGGGGGTCCGGGGGGCGCTTTCGCTCGTGCCCGTCCTCGGGCCCGTCCCGCGGCGCGGGGGCGGCGTGGGCGGCGACGAAGGCCTCCTGCCGCGGCGGCGCGGCCGTCCCAGGAGGAGCAGGGAAGAGGCGGCACCAACACCAGCAGGGCGAGGAGGTGCGAGGAGGCACGGGAGGAACTGCCTGGTGGTGTGGTCCCCCCCTCTCGCTCGAGACATCCCCAGCCTCCAGCTCGGAGAGGCATCGTGGACCTCCTCGCTGGCGGTGGGCCCCCTGGTGGTGTTGGTATCGCTTCTCCTCCCTCCGATCCTGGGAAGAAGAAATGGGCAAGGAACTGGAAGAGGAGAACCCAGATACTCCGACGTAGCACACGGAAGGAGCCGGGAAGACCGTGCCCCGTGCTGCTCGGGCCCCTGCTTCGGTGCTGACCCCGACCTGTGCGTTCACGCGCTCGCACAAGTCAGGACAGCACACGTGCAAATCAGTGCAAGTCCGTACACGTAGCACAAGGACTTACAAGTAGTACGTAACAAATCGACGCAACTACGTACAAGAGTGCACTTCCCGCCAGTGCTGTGGGCACTCGGTGGAGTGTCATCAGGTCTCTTCGAGCTTTCTGGATTACACCCTGTCTCTCGCGAAGACCCAAGCCCAATGTTCTTGGACGCTCTTGGATGCTCACGCGCCCGCCCGCGTGACTTGTCCCGAGGCGCTCCCTTTCGTCGTATTCATCCTCCTCGTCCTCCCTCCCCCCTTCCTTCTCTACCCCACCTCTCCTCTCGGTCCTCATCTTTTGCCTGGTCGTCCACCATACTCCTCCTCCTCCTCCTCCTCCTCCTCCTTATCATCACCATCACCAGCAATCACCATCACCATCACCATCACCATCATTATCATCAGCATCATCAGCATCATTATCATCATCATCATCATCATCATCATCATCATCATCATCATCATCATCATCATCATCATCATCATCATCATCATCATCATCATCATCATCACCATCAGCAGCAGCAGCATCATCAGCACCATCACCATCATCATCAGTATCATCATACTCGTCATCGTCATCATCATCTCATCATCATCAACATCATCAGCACCATCCTCCTCCTCCTCCTCCTCATCCTCATCCTCATCATCACCCCCTCCGCCTCAGCTACTCCTCCTCCGCTGCCGCCCCGCCGAGGTCGTTGTTGACAACGTCGTCGACGCCCCCTCCGCCCATCCACATAGCAGGACGATGCTCACGCACGTAATCTGAGCCCAATAATCGCGTAGTGGATCGACTACAGACTTGACGTACGTACCCCAACATCGACATCCTCCTCGAATCTGCACACAGGTGCGTAGCATGCCCGTGGATCTACAGGCATCGTTCACATGTCTCATGGCTTCGGTGAGATCATCCAGTTTTTGGTAAATCCAGTTGGTGGTCGATCCCCGAGTGACCGTTGTTCCCCATATCCTAAGATGGGGTTATTGTTATTACTTGGACGCCTCCTACTCCTTCTTCCTCTTCCTCTTCTTCTCCTCCTCCTCCTCATACCCAGACTTCCTCATACACAGGCTGACACTACTCATACTCAGACCTACTCATACTCGGACCTACTCATACTCAGACATACTCATGGTGAGACTCACTCATGCCCATACTTACTCATGCTCAGGCCTTCTCATTGTCTGACTTACTCTACACACAGCAGGTTGTGAGGACGTCTCAGGCTGGGCGCTGGTTTCAGCACCCCTAAGGGGAGCCGCCGAGGGGTATGACACGGTCCCGTTCGCGGCCGTTGTGTGGGGATGGTTCAAGCGGTTTGCCTGGTTTCTGTCCCAACATCCTTCGCGTTCGAAGCAGATGTGGAGGATGTCTCGAGTGAGGCGCTCATTTTTACCCGCCAGGTGGGCCAGATGTTGAGGATGTTTCGTTCGGTTTGCTTGTTTTGGTGGCCAGACTCGTGGGCACATGTTCTCCTCAGGATGCCACAGGATGCTCCAACAGGCTCCAGGAGGCCCCCTGGGGACCACATAAGGTCCCAGGAGGCACCAGGAGGCCACAGAAAGACTCAAGAGGCCGCAAGATGCCCCAAGAGGCTCCAGGAGGCCCCAGGAAGCTCCAGGAGGCCTCAGGAAGCCACAGGAGGCCCCAGGAGGCCACAGGAAGCGCCAGGAGACGTCGGAAGGCAACAGGAGGCCCCGAGAGGCCCCAGGAGCAGGAGGCCTCAGAAGGCAACAGGAGTGGTTCCAATCCCATGTGTTTTACTCATGCTCCTATATATTGGGCCTCACCTGGAGCACGAATCCTTGACGTGGTACGTATGATTCTATAGATTGTCCTTCTCCTGTGAAAAGAATCCTAACTGTTTTACTTATGTTCCCATGTGTTGGGCCTCTCCTGGGGCACGAATCCTTGGTGCTTTACGTGTGTTCCTATATATTGCCCTTCCCCTGTGGCTCCAATCCGCAATGTTTTATGTACGTCGGTTGCTATATGTTGGGCCTCTCCTGGGGCACGAAGCCTCCCTGGGAGGTCCCAGGAGGCCCCAAGAGGCTCCTGGAGGCCCCAGGAAGCCCCAGTAGGTTTCAGGAGGCCCCAGGAGGTTCCAGGCTCATGCGCAGAAACGCGCTCGTACTACTGAGGCTCATTCACACTCCAATTCATTCGCAATCAGATTCATGACCAGACCGCCACAACTGGAGCCCGTTTATATTCGAAAGCTCTTGCGCCTAGACGTTCACGGCGGACAGGTCCATGCGAATAGATGCACATGTGGGGAGCCCCACGCAGTGAATAATTTCCCCAACCATCCTGTGGTGTTGGGACCTTGCATTGAAAAAGACAGCGCCCCACGTCGCCTCTTCTCCTCTCCTCCTTCCTCTTCCCTCCTCTCGCTCCTCTTAGCCATTGCACCCCTCATAGGTTTCGCGGCCCCATAGCGAGCTCCACCGAAGGCCCCAGTGGCAGCGCCCGCAGGCAGTTCCATCCTCATTTCGGTGTACCCCTCACACGTTTCGTGCACCCATAGGGAGCTCCACCGAAGGCCCCAATGGTAGCGCCCGCATGCGGTTCCACACAAAGTTTGGCATACTCCTCACACGTTTCGTGGGGCCCATAAGGAGCTCCACCCAAGGCCCCAGCCCCATAGCTCCACCCAATGCCTCGGCGGCAGCGCCCACATGCAGGTCCACCCCCCATTTCGGTGCACCCCTGGCACGTTTCATGGCACCATTGGGAGCTCCACCGAAGGCCCAAATGTCATCGCCCGTATGCAAATCCACCTCCATATCAGCGCAGGCACACCCCTTACACGTTTCGTGGCCCAATCGAGCGCTCCACCGAAGGCCCCACTTGCATCGCCCGCATGCAGTTTCATGTCGGCGCACCGCTCACACAACTCGTGGCTCCGAAGGCCCTCGCGGCAGCGCCCGCATGCGGATCCACCCTCAATTTCGGTGCACCACTCACACGCTCCGTGGCTCCAAAAGGAGCTCCACCCAAGGTCCCAGTGGCAGCGCCCGTATGTAGTTCCACCCTCCATTTCGGCACAAACATTTGTACGCTTTGTGGGCTCACAGGGAGCTCCACCGAAGGCCCCATTGGCAGCGACAGCATGCGGTTCGACCCTCCATTTCGATGCACCGTGGCCCCATAGGGGAGCTCCACCGAATGCCCCAGTGGCAGCGCCCGCAAACGTTTCGCCCCATAATGAGCTCCACAGAATACCCCAGTGGCAGCGCCCGCATGCAGGTCCACCCACCATTTCGGCACACCCTTCACGCGCTTCGTGGCCCCATAGGGAGCTCCACCACCGAAGGCCCCAGTGGCAGCGCCCGCAGGCAGTTCCACCCCGATGTCTGTGCACCTCTCACACTTTTCATGGTCCCACAGGGAGCTCCACCGAAGGCCCCAGTGGCAGCGCCCGCATGCAGTTCCACCCTCCACTTCGGCACACCCCTCACACGTTGGCCCCATAAGGAGCTCCACCCAAGGCCCCAGTGGCAGCGCCCGCATGCGATCCGACCCTCCATGTCGGCGATTCGCTCGCACGCTTCGTGGCCCCGTAGAGGCTCCACCGAAGGCCCCAGTGGCAGCGCCCGCATGCGGTTCCACCCTCCATTTCGGCACACCGCTCGCAAGTTTGTTTCGTGGCCCCAGTGGCAGCGCCCGCATGCGGCTCCACCCTCCATTTCGGTGAGTCCCTCGCGCGTTTCATGGCTCCACCAGAAGGCCTCACCGAAGGCCCTAATTAGCGGCAACGACCGCATGCGGCTCCACTCTCCATTGTCCGCGAAACCCATCAGACGTGGCGTGGCCCCACGGGGAGCTCCGCCGAAGGCCCCAGCAGCAGCGTCCGAATGGCGGCCCCGCCACAGATTCGGCACACCCTTCACGCGCTTCGTGGCCCCATAGGGAGCTCCACCACCGAAGGCCCCAGTGGCAACGCCCGCACGCGGTTCCTCCCTTCCTTCCCGCGAACCGCTGGCACGCAAGGCCCCTAGTGGCAGCGCCCACATGGCGGCCCCGCCACGTTTCGGCACACCCTTGACGCGCGCTCCGTGGCCCCAAGAGGGAGATCCGCGGACGGCGATGCTCCAAACGACGGTGCCCACGGTTGCATACGGTTGGGCCCTTCGCCAGGCTTACTTCTTTCCCGGGTAAGGGTCGTTACCAGTGTCGGGCCGGGCGAAAGGGGGGGATAGGGGGGGGGGGGTGAGAATCAGCTCACGTAGCTGCCTTTCCCGGCGCCTCCTGGCTCCAGGAGGCGCCCATGTATCGAGGAATGGGCCCAGCGGCAGGGCCGAAACCAGCTGCACGCAGCAGATTTCGCACCCCCCCCTTTCCCTATCCCCCCCTTTCGTTCGGCCCGACAGTGGGGGGGTCGGGCGGGAGTGTAGCGGGAACGGCGGCCGCGACGTGCACACGCCAGCGTGCGTTCGCGCCACCGGCGCATTGCCGTGTGCACCGCGGCATGCAGCGGGGGGTCCAGGCCACCCCCCGCAGTAGGACCGTTAGCGTTACCGGGGGGGGGGGCCTGGGTATCGAGCGACACCAGCATTGGGAGGGGAAAAACGCTCACATCCAAATCATCGACGTCGTGACTTGTTTAACGACGTCTACCCCCAGAGGTCTGGACCCCATCCCGGGGGGAACGGTCTTTCGTCCCGAATATCTGTTTGACGGCTCCGAGGCCCAGGAAGGCCCCCCAGGAAGCGAAAATAGGAACAAGCCTCCCGTCGTGATTCTTGTTCACCACGCGAGGGGGCCTTGGGCCTGGGACACAGCAGCGTTGCAGCCGATTCCCCGCTCGAAAGGCGCGCGCGCGCGCGCGCCCCCGAAGCACGCGGGCACGGCTCCGGGCCCTCGGGGCCCAGGGCGGGCCCGGCGCCAGGCCGGGCGGGACGGGGCTCGGGCGCCCCGGCGCCCGCGCAGCCGTCCGCCCGCCAGGGCCCCCGCAGAGAGTTAGCGAGACTCTCGCTGCTCGTCCTCTTGGAAGGGGCGCAGGGACAGGCCAAGAGGTGGGCACGACTCTCAGGATCCCCACCCAAGTACTGCCGATTCGTGTCACAAGGACGCGCGGCAAGGATGCAGGGGGCCCTGGGCGCCCCTTTCGAGGCTTTGCGAGCGGGGCGCGGCCAGCGAACGTGGCCAAGGATGGACCGAGGCACGGATGCAAAGGGCACCCGTGGGAAAGTTGCCCATCCCTAATCTGCGGGTTGACTGTATGTCATGGAGTTCCGTTTCCCTTGGCATTTCCGTACCTTCCAAATCTTGCTGGAGATCGACGCTTATCTGTGTCTGTGTGCTGTTCCTCCTGATTCCTGTCGGTCGCGCGACGAAGGGGTGTAGGGGGAGGCGGGGGGAGGTTGCTTAGAAGCACCCCCGCTTCTTAAAAGGCGCGTGCCTTATCCAGAGATGTAGGGCCGGCGCCTTCTAAGAAGCAGCCCCCTTCTAAGAAGCCTTTCCCCCCTCCCTTTTACCCCCCCTCTGCGCGCCGCCAAGCCTAAGGACCCATCAAGCCACCCCAACCCAGCCCGAAGTCGTCGTTGGACCCCTCGAGTTCCAGGGGGGGGGGACGTCCTGGAGCATCGAGACACTGCAGCGGAACCCGTGCACCCCCCCACCCGAAAGTTGGGGGGGCCTGGGATTTTCAGGTCGGGTTGGGGTGGTTCGGTAAGTCGTGACTTCTCGCACGGCGCGAATCGGTCGTGCTCGTCTTCTGCCCGGGCGTCATGGTCAGTGGTCGGCATCATTCTGCGCATTCTGCCCGCGTCGAGTCGCTGGCAGGCTTCGTGTTGCAGGTGCAGGCCGGGGCTCAGGCCCTGATCCGCCACCTTTCGCGCACACGTGAAAACTGCAGCCGCGGGTCAACACGTTCTCGATTCTTCGTTTTCTCGGGCTGCAATTTTACAAGAAGAGGCAACGGCAAAAACATAACCTGTTGGCGCTCCGCGCGGATTATTGGATCTGCTTTGGACCCCCCTCCCTGACGCACGTGGCGCGCCAGAGGCGGCGCCAGATGCGCCGCCAGAGGGGGGCCCAGCGAGGATCCCAGAGGTCCGCGCGGAGCGCCAAACGTCTACGTTTATGCAATGTAGTCCTTTTTCGCTAATTACAAAATCCTGGCTTAATGGATGGACTAACCGGGCTCGGTGCAAACCCAGCTCAACCGATTTAGGAGCAACCGCGCTGCCACTTTCCAGGAGGCTTCCTAACAACTGGGCTCAACCACACTGTGGGGCCGCCTCCGAGGCCGCGAATCACTCCCAACCCCGGCTCTCAACCCAAATCCGACTCTGCAGGATCCTGCAGGATCTGGCGCTCTGCCTGAGTGAAGGGAAACTGTGACACACAAATAAATACACGCAAACAAAACGATTCCCCATATTATCACATATTTTCTGTGTTTTCGTCTTCCCCACCACTTCCCATATTTTCCTATATTTTCTGGGGAAACGACGATTACTTGTGTCTGTGTGTTTTTTCCCCTCCTGACTGAGCCCCGTTTGCGCTGAACTCTGTCACCTGCGGGCTGGGCCCTGGTCGTCCGGCGCGCGGGTGCAGAACAAGGGCCCGGCAAAGGGCCCCGAAGGTGCCCCTGCCGGCCCCCACAGAAGCCTCAATGGCCCTGTCACGGCCCTTTTCTTTCTTTCCAACAAAGCCTAAGTCACTCGTGAGGTGTCAAGGCACCTCGTAACGGCCGCGCACGAAAGGACAGTATTTGAGCCAACGCCTGAACAGCCTCGTCCATGGCGATGGTTTCTGCTAGAAATGAAGATACAGGGTCAGACATAAACGTTCCAGCCTGAATTACAAAGGACCGCGTTGTGCTCTGACCACAGACACCCCCGCGGGGCCACCCCCCATGGCCACCCCGCGCGGGGGTGAGAAAGGTCTCGGTGGGCCACTCCTCCAGCACAGCTGCCGTGCACCGCCCAGCGACCGTAAGCACTATCCTGCACCCGACGGAGGGATTGCTCGTGGGGGCCCCGCGAGCCACATCCGCAGGATGCCCCGTCTGTTCCACCTCACGACGCTGGGATGACACTATGTCGCGAGGCGGGGATTAATCCAGATCCACCGCCTGGGAAACGACGCGTTGGGGACGCAGCGGGCGGTGGATGTGGATATGTTTAGGCCCTTGGGGGCCAACACTTACCCATATCCACCCCCTGTGGGGGGCCCGCGAAAATCGATCTTCCAGGCGATGGTTACGAAAGAATCCCCGCCTCGAGACTATATCTGGCGAACTGCAGGTGGGCTGCTTCTGTCCTGGAGAGGTTTGCAGTGTCCTGGTCTGAAGGGCCCTGGCCCCGCGTCGCGGCCGCTGCCCCTGCCATCGCTCGGACAGCAGTCCCCCGTGCACCGTTTGGCTTCGTGCGCGCTCTGCTTCTCGAGATGGCCCCGAAAGCTCCAAGATCTCCAACTTGGTCCATGCGTGGGCCCCGCAGGTCCCCACCACTTCCCTATAGGGCCAACTTTTCGTCCCGAGTCGTTTCGTTGGCGCTCCCGAGGCCCGGGGAGGGCCCCGGGAGGCCGGAGGTAGCAGAAAACCTCACGTCGTGATTTTTGTTTACCACGCGAGGGGGTCTGGGTTTGGGGTGAGTCAATCTTGTGGTCGATTCCCCACTCGCAAGACCCGCGCGCACGCGCGCGCCCTCGAGGCACTCGGGCACGGCTCACGCCCCCAGAGGCCGAAAGCGGCCAAAAACAGCCTGCGCCAATTTTTTGTGGGAGGCTTGGACCTCTGGGAAGGCACACGTCCGAGCGATGCCAAGCCAGGAGAGCCCGAAATCGAATCAACAAGTCGGATCGGCGATCGAGATGAATCCGATCGGCGGAAATCGGCAGCCGAGACGGGAAAAGTCGAATCGGCGGACATCGGCAGGCTAGTATGCCTCCAATAAGAAGTCGGAACCCTTATCGGAATCCCGAGCCGAATCGAATCGGAATCGGAAGCCATCAAAATCGAATCGAATCGAATCGGAGGAACCGAAATGGGCCTTGGCAAGCCACGCCCCCCCCCCCCAAGACGCGACGCAGCGGCGCCTCCAGCAGCGCGCACCTCTGGTCGAGCCGCTCCCGCTCCCCAGCGCTCAGGCCGTGCCACCAGTGGCCTCGTCCGCCGTCCACGGTCGTCGTCGTCGTCGTCGTCGTCGCCGTCGCCGTCGCCGTCGTCGTCGTCGTCGTCGTCGTCGTCGTCGTCGTCGTCGTCGTCGTCGTCGTCGTCGTCGTCGTGGTCAAACTGCGCACCCTGTGGGTCAGAGGAGGGAAAAGCACGGTGAGGGCATGTGATAAGGATCCGCCGGATACAGAATCCAGGGCCTGGGAGCAGGTGGAACTCCGCTAGTGGATCGACCATGGATGTCACCGTCGCCCTGATCAGACAATAGGGGCACGAAAAACGACATAAACATAAAAACTCTGAGGTCCGCGCGGATTTCTCGGATCCGCGCTGGAGACCCCTGGCGGCGCCTCCGGCGCCGCCCCATGGCGCGCTCCGCGCGCCAGGGAGGGGCGTCCAGCGCCGATCCGAAGAACTCCGCGCGGACCTCCGAGTTCTTGTGCTTCTGTCCTGTGTCACCCTTGTCTTCCCCAGATAGGGAAGCCTCCAGGGTCTGCAGCTTCCTGGGAGCCTTCCTGAACCAGCGCCCCCGCCGTGCCGGTACTGCAGGTTCGTTCCGTGTCGACCCTGGCGTTGGCTCCTGACACCGCGCTGGATCGTTCAACCTTGAACGATCGGCCGTCTCCGCAACGTCCGATCGTTCAACATCGACCGATTCTGGGCCGCCGTCGGCGTTCAACGTTGAAAGTCGGCGGCGGGGTCGCCGCCGGTCGACACGACGCGAACCTACCGTATGCCACCGCGCTTCCCCTCGGCGCCGCGGCCGGGTGCGCCCCGAGAGCCTGGCCGGAGCGCGCCCCGGGGTCTGGGCCGTGGAGCAGCGGTGTCGGGCCCTGCGCTTGCCCCCCCCCCCCCAGTAAGGGGGGGGGGAGGAGGAGGAGGAGGAGGAGGAGGAGGATGAGGAGGAGGAGGAGGAGGAGGAGGAGGGAGGAGGGGAGGAGGAGAGGAGAGGAGGAGGGAGGAGGAGGAGGAGGAGGAGGAGGAGGAGGGGGAGGGAGGGGGGAGGAGGAGGAGAGGAGGGAGGAGAGGAGGAGGAGGAGGAGGAGAAGGAGGGAAAGGAGGAGGAACTGGGGGGGGGGGGGGGGTGGCCAATCACGGTACAGCCAGCCCGTAGCATGAGGATGCGCGGCAAGGATGCAAGGGCCCTGGAGGGCCACGCTGACGCTTTTTCGGGCGAGGTGGGCCAGCGAACGTCGCCAAGGATGGGCCGAGGGTGCAAGGATGCAAGGTACCAGTGGGAAGGTTGCCCATCCTTGCTACACGGGTCGACTGCAGGCCAAAACATATCTTTGCCTCTGGGTTGAGAAGGTTGCCCATCCTTACTGTGCGGGTTGACTGTATCAACGACGCGCCGCCGTGGCAAAGCCATCAGCGTGATGCTGTCGACGAGGAGGCGCGCCAGACCCTCGGACAACAAAAAAACGAGGGAGCAGTAAGCATGCTGGCGGGCTCCCAGCGGCGCTAGGCTTCAGGGAGGGTTCTTCTGGTGGTGTGGTCTCCCTACGGGCGCCTGGCGGAGGCCCTGGTGGGTTTCACCTGTTGTTTGTCCTTTCGCGCCTGTGCTGCCGAATGCCTGGGACCAGCTTTGTCTGGGGAGAGGGGTGGGAGGGCGGAGTGAATGGTTCTTTCTATTTGTTTGTCTATCTACGGGGGGATATAAGATCTACAATCGAAAAAAGGCTACAGGAACGTGAATCAAGAACACGAGCCCATTTGAGAGGCCAAAGCCTCCTGTGAACAAGCCAAACGAGGGCCATTCCAGGGTGGACAGGGAGCCGGTCGCGGGGCGGGTCGCGGGTGAGGACGATCGGGTGGGTCGCGCGGTGGTTCGCGGTGGGTCGCGCCTGTGTCGCGGGGTGGGTCCAAGCGCTTTCAGCATCGCAGCCTCTCGCCGCGATGCTGGAAACGCCCGGAGGTCCCGACTGCCTCCCCGAAGGGAAACTTTCCGCCCGGATCCGTCCTTGCATGCCCCGGGGCCCGCCCACGGGCCCCATAGGCCGAGATCGAAGAACAAACGCCCGGGCCCAGAGGCCCGCGAAGGGGCCCCAGAGGCCAGATCCTTGGAGGGCAGAGCTGGGAAGGATGCCGCAGGAAGTGAGGCCAGAGGAGGCCCCTCGCAGATTCCTTGCAACTGGCGAAGGTTTTGGGAGAGCTTCCCCTCCGGAGCCCTGCCACGGATATTTTTGGAACGGATGCATGGAGGGGGGGGTGTCCATGGACCGCCCAGGAAACCCTCAGGAAAGAACCAAATCGAAAGAGCTTTTGGGCCGTGTTTTTCTTTGGGGGGGGCGAGTTCCCCTGGATCCCCCGGGACACCCCAAAAAACCCACTTGAAAAGGATTTTTGGGGGGCTGCCACCCTCTTGACCACCCATGAGGAGGTCCTTTGGTTGGTTTCTTATATCAGTTTCCTTGGAATCCACGGGACCCCCCCTAATCCCCCCAAAACCCAAGTTGAAAATTGATGTTGGTTGGAGGATCCCTCCCCCCCTGAACCTCCTCAACAATGTTTGCGGTGTGTTTTATGGGCGGGTTCCCTTGAGCTACACGGGAACTCCCGCTGCCATCCGCCCGCACATCGACCTCGTCCTCCTGGCCCCCGTCCTCCTCCTTCTCCTCCTCCTCCTCATCATCATCATCATCAGCAGCAGCATCATCAGCAAAACCACCATCACCATCATCATCACCACAACCACCATCACCACCACCACCACCATCATCATCATCATCATCATCATCAGCAGCATCATCATCAACAGCATCATCACCACCATTATCATCATCCTCAGCATCAGCAGCAGCATCAGCATCAGCATCAGCATCATCATCATCACCATCATCACACGATTTATTGTCATCATCACTATCACCATGATCATCGCCATCATCATCGTAACCATCATCACCACAACGACCATCATCATCACCAGCACCATCATCACCAACGTCAGCACCGCCATCATCATCAGCAGCATCCCCATCTTCATCAACATGCTCAGCATCAGCATCACGACCATCATCATGACCCCCATCATCATCACCACCATCATCACCACCATTAGTATCATCATCAGCATCATCATCAGTATAATAATCGTCATCATCAGCAGCACCAGTACCATAAGCATTATCATCATCATGATCATGATCATCATCATCATCATCATCATCAGCAGCATCATCATCATCATCATCATCATCAACATCTTCATCATCATCATCATCATTATTATCATCACCACCACCGTCATCGTCATCATCGGCATCATCGTCATCATCATTATCATCATCATCATCATCATCAGCATCATCATCCTCATCCGATCCTCATCCTCATCCTCGTCCTCTTCTGGAGCCTCTGCATTCTCTGAGCGCGGGTCCCGCCGATGGCCTCCTCCTCCTCCTCCTCCTCCTCCTGATACCTGACCCCTGATGGCGTGAGGAGTCTCCGGCTGCCGCCCTCCCAGGGCGGGGTCGGCCCTGGTGAGCGTATCAAACGGCGGCCTGGTGGCCCTTGGAGCACCGCTCTGCAAGAGCCACCGGCTGGCCTGATAGTTTACGCGACGGTGGAGGAAGGCAAGTGCGGTAGGAGCTCGACCACAAGAAACCTTCCACAGGAAACCCAACCCTGAGACCCCAGGACGTCAATATCTTTGTCCCCTAGCAACCATGAAAACCCAAGAAACCCGGGACACCCTGGAGGCGAGCAGGGTGTCTCTTGGCATGGCTTCCCGCTGTAAGAGAAGACAGCACGAGTAGACTCCTCGCCCTCCTCCTCCTCCTCCTCCTACTTCGATCGACGGCCCTCCTCGCCCTCCCCCTCGCCCTCCTCCTCGCCCTCCTCCTCGCCCTCCTCCTCCTCCTCACCCTCCTCGCCCTCCTCCTCCTCCTCCTCGCCCTCCTCCTCGCCCTCCTCGACTGTAAGGCCTCGCCCTCCCTCCTCGCCCTCCGACTTCGATCGAAGGCCCTCCGTAGACTCCTCGCAGTGCAAGCGCGCCGAGCTCGGCTGCCGAGGAAGGGTCCAGCGGCCGTGGCGCCGCCGCCACCCTCGGGCGGCGCGGCGCCGCCGTCTTCAAGGGCCCACACCTTGCGGGGGGGGTCCTCCTCCTCCTCCTCCTCCTCCTCCTCCTCCTCTTCTTTTTTTCTTCTTAGTAGTCTTCTTCATATTCTTCTTCTTCGTCTTCTTCTTCATATCATTATTCTTATTATTATTACTATTATTCCTCTTCTTCTTCTTCTTCTGATTATCATTCTTCTTCGTCGTATGTTTATTATTCTTCTTAGTATTAGCATCCTCAGTATTATTATTATGTTTCTTCTTAGTCTTCGTATTATGCTCATTATTCTTCTTCTTCGTCGTCGTCGTCGTTATCATCTTATTCATATTATTTGTCTTATTCGTATTATTCTTCTTCGTCTTCTTCTTCTTCTTCCTCCTCCTCCTCCTCCTCTGCCTCCTCCTCCTCCTCCTCCTCCTCCTCCTCCTTCCTCCTCCTCCTCCTCCTCCTCCTCCTCCTCCTCCTCCTCCTCCTCCTCCTCCCTCCACCTGATCACGTACCTCCTCCTCTCCTCCGCGCCCTCCACCTCATCCGCCTCCTCCTCCTCCTCCTCCTCCCTCCTCCTCATCTTCCTTCTCCTCCCTCCCTCCACCTTCTCTCGTACCTCCTCCTCGCCCTTTAACTCATCCGCCCTCCTCTTCCTTCTCCTCCTCCTTCTCCTCCCTCAACCTGATCCCGTACATCCTCCTCGTCCTTCACCTCATCCGCCGTCTTCCTCTTCCTCCACCTCCTCCTCCTCCTCCTCCTCCTCCTCCTCCTCTTCCATCTCCCTCCGCCTCCTCCCTTCTCTCTTCCTCCTCCTACCTTCTCCTCCTCCACCTCCCTCCACACGATCCCGTACCTCCTCCTCTCTCTCTATCCCTTCCTCCACCTCTTCCTCCCTCCTCCTCCTCCTCCTCCTCCTCCTCCTCCCTCCTCCTCCTCCTCCCTCCTCCTCATCATTCTCCTCCACCTCCTCCTCCTCCTCCTTGTCCTCCTCCTCCTCCTCCTACGCCTTCTCCCGCCCGTCCACCTCCATTATTGCCTTGTACAGATATCGAACATTGGCGGGTTGGCCGTTGCGTCTTGTCACTCCTGACGTGCTTCTCCTCCTTCTCCTCCTCCGCATGGCATGTCCTGAGTCGTGTTCTGGCAATATGTTCGAGGCGGGCTCAGCTGGTTGACAGGACGGTTCCGCCCCCCGCCCTTCCCCCCCGAGGGCCAGAAACCTCGAGAATCTTGGGCTCTCGAACACGGACCCTTGAACGACGACTACGACTGCGGTAACGACGCCGACGTCGGTCGGCGCAGGCGAGGTCCAAGGAACGGAAGTGGGAGGCCTCCCCGAACTGAGTCTGCAGAGGCCCGGGGGAACGCCCAGGGCTTGCGGTGCGCACAAAGGGGTATGGGGGAGGGGGAAGGCTTCTTAGCAGGAGGCCGCTTCTGAGAAGGCGCGGGCGTGACATCTACAGACGAGGCCCGCGCCTTCCAAGAAGCAGGGGTGTTTCAAAGAAGCCTTCCACCCTCTCCCTACACCCCTCTGCGCGCGAACGGCTTTCTCCATGTTCGCCCGCCCCCTCCGCCTCCGCCTCCTCCTCCTCCTCCTCCTCCTCCTCCTCCTCCTCCTCCTCCTCCTCCTCCTCCCCTCCCCCTCCCCTCCTCCTCCTCCTCCTCCTCCTCCCTCCTCCTCCTCCTCCTCCTCCTCCTCTTTCTCCTCCTCCTTCTCCTCCTCCTCCTCCTCCTCCTCCTCCTCCTCCTCCTCCTCCTCCTCCTCCTCTCCCCTCCTCCCCCCTCCTCCTCCTTCTCCCCCTCTGCGCGTGGCCGACAGGGAGGCAGCCCCAGACATCCGATGTCTTGATTGGTTCTGTGAGCGGCCCCCGCAAGCCGCGACCCTCTCCCTGGGGCCGAGCTCCCATGAGCCTGGTTTGTTCGGCTCTGGCAAATTTACTGGCATGGACGGGGGGGTGGCTTGAACCGGGAGTAAGCCGCAGACGGTTTGCACGTGCAGAAACCACGCAAGCCGATAGGCACTTGCACGTCAGGATTCGTCTGAAGAGGGGCGAGGAAGGGGGGGGGAACGCCGTGCAAGTAAACTTGCCCGAATCAAAAAACAGGCTCCATCTCAAATAACTGGTTGACATTCCCCGGGGCCCAGAGAGGGCTCCTGGAGGCCGAACACGTGGGGAAACCAAAAAGCACCGATGCCGGTACTCCCTGGACCTCTCTCGGGGTGCGTTCTGACTGAAATTTCGAGGCGAAGCCAGCGGTGGCGACGAGGGCCTCCAAGGAGGCCCAAGAAAGGGGAAACGAGGGAAAGGTAGCAGTATGGGCACCTTTCCCTTTCCTTCTCCGATCACGGCCAACAGCCTCCCGTCGAGATTCCGCTCTAGCGTGCCGCTCAAGAGAGTTCTCACCAGAGGTCACCAACAGAACAGACAGCAGAAGCGTGCCACGTGGGGGTCCGGGGGGCCCGGGACCGCCCGCTGGAGATTGCCCGGTCCGACAGCCGCGTCGCCTGAGACATCCTCACACTTCCCTAGACAAGCGCGTTCCACTACTCGCAAAGTAGCTGCTCTCGCAAACGGCCTGGATCCGCGACGAGGGATTCACGATCCTGAACGTGGAGGAGGACTCGTTTTTTTCCCGACGTTTGCGAGTATAGGCACTTTGCGAGTAGCGGGACGCGCTCGGTGATTCCTCGGGAATCGTGCCCTCGCAATGCCGGCCCCATGTATGGTCCAGACCGCTGCGATATTCGGGGGCGCGCAAACATGGATTCGCGATCCATGTATTTGGCGCGCGGTCGCCAAATCCAGGGATCGCCGTCGTTCTCTAGGGCGCGCTGCTGGGGCAGTGCGTGTCCACGACGCAAGCATGAGGTCGGGCATGTCCCCCGACAGGCGGATGTTGGACGACGGATGGAGAAATAGCCCACACATACTCCAAATATATATATATATACTAGAACCATCGCGCGCGCTTCGCGCGCGCTCAGGTTCTAGCAGGTCCAAGGCCTTGACGAATTCACTGCTCCACTGAAGTAGTGGGCCACAGTCCACGCATGCCAATCTGCATTCCGAAAGGCCTTCGAGGAAAATGGCTGTGTAGGGGGGCGGAGGCCGTATGAACCGCATTCCCAGAAGGCATTCTGGGAGCATGGGTTTGGGGGCGTCTTGGGGAGCCTGTTGGGGTGTGCCGTCGTCGTCGTCGTCGTCGTCGTCGTCGTAATGTCGTCGTCGATTACTGGGACGCGCCGCCGTCGTCGTCCTCGTCGTCATCGTCGTCTTCGTCGTCTTCGTCGTTTCAACGTCGTCGTCGGTTCAAGAGGGCACTTGGGGCAACTTTGTGCGAAACGATCTGCGGAGGGCCGCGAGAAGGCGATCAGACATGTTCCCAATCAACTTCCCAGACAGCTCTCCTGTGGCATGGTGGTACTTCGAAGCCTCCGGAGACTCGCGGGCCCATGATGAACCATGCCCCCAGAAGGCTTTCTGGGGACATGGTTTGTTGGGGTGTGTTGGGGGGTCTCTTGGACGTTCCCTGAGGGCCCCTTGGGGGCCTCCTGGAACTCTCGGGCCTATGATGAACCATGTCCACGGAAGGTTTTCTGGGCACATGATTTCTTCGGGTGTGTTGGGGGGCCTCTTGGGCGTTCCCTGGGAGCCCCTGGGGGGTCTCTTAAGGCTTCCTGGGGGCCTCTTGGGCGCCTCACGGGGCTTCGTGGGAGCCTCTTAGTGGCCTCCGGGGGCCTACAGGCGGCCTCTGGGGCCAGAGACCTCGAAATATCGGTTGGCGGTCCCCCATCTGGGCCCTCTCTTGAGGAGCTCTTGGGGCACAGTGTCTGGGGAGCCTCCTGGGCCGTCTCGGGGCCCTCTTCGGGGCCTCGTGGCTTGGAGCGATCTGAAGGGCCTCCGAGGCCGTGAGGGAGCGCTGGAAAGCGGGAAAAGCGAGAACGAGCGATCTGAAGGGCCTCCGAGGCCGTGAGGGAGCGCTGGAAAGCGGGAAAAGCGAGAACGCCAAAATCCAAAACACTCAGAAAACGAGTGAATCTTGCCTTCCAGGGCCCTCTTGGGGAGCCTCTTGAGTCCGTCCTGGAGCGTGTTGGAGTCCTCGTCGGCTGTCTTGAGGGCATCTTGGGCGTCTTCGGGGCCTCGTGGGACCCCCTTAGCCTGTCGTGGCCTGCTTCGGCGCGGGCTCGGGCCGCCTCGGGAGCTCTGGATCCCCCCCCGCGGTGGGCCCCGATGGAGGGAACAGGCAGCGGCCCGCCCCCCCCCCGGGCCTACTCCGAGATAGAGAACCATGTTCCCGGGAAGCTTTCCGGGAGCATGTTTTGTTCGACTCTCTAAGAGGGGGGCCTCTGGGGGCTTACCGAGGGGCACCTTTTGGCCTTGTCGGCAAGCCTATAACTGGAAACATGGTTGGGGCGGTGGGCGGAAGCCCAAGGAATCATGTTCCTGGAAAGCTATCTGGGAAATACGATTTACCGAACTGTCTTGGGGGCCCCCTAGGGGGCTTCCCTGGGGACCCCTGGGGCCTATTGGGGCTTCCGGGGGGCCTCTTGGGAGCCTCACGGGGTTTCTTGGGAGCCTCTTGATGGCCTCCGGGGGCGTCCTAGGAGCCTCTCAGGCCGGAGACCTTGAAATGCCGCGCTCTTCGGGCCCTCTTGGGTCGCTCTTGGGGCTCTCTTGGGGCGCTCTCGAGGCCCTCTTGACTTATCTGGGGAGCCTCCTGGGCCGTCTCTGGGCTCTCTTGGGAGCCTCTTCGGCCGTCTTGGAGCGATCTGAAGGGCCCCTGACGCGGTCTGGGACCGTGGGGAGGCGGAACATGGGAGAGCGCAAGAATGCTTCAAAAATCATTGGGAAATTTATGATTTTCGGCTTCTGGGGCTCTTTGGAGGGGCCTTTTGAAGCGATCCTGGGCTTCTCTCGGCGCTCTTGGAGCCTTCTTTGGCGGACTGGGAGGCCCGGGGGCCGCCCGAGGAGCGTCCCGGGAGGCCTTCCTGGGCTGTCTTCGGGCTATCCTAGGGCGCCTCGTGGGGCTTTCGGACCGCTCCGACAGCCAAGGGAGCTGATATCCTAAAAATGTACGTTTTACGAAGGGAATGGGGCCATTTTGGTCTCCCGGGGCGCTCTTGGGGGGCCTCTTGGAGGCCTCTTGGGGCGGTTTGATGGCCTCTTGGCCCTTCTGGAAGCGATCTTTTGCGGTCTTGAAGCGATCCTGGGGTTCTCTCGGCGCTCTTGGAGCCTTCTTGGGCGGACTGGGCAGCCCGGGGGCCGCCGGAGGAGCGTCCCGGGAGGCCCTCCTGGGCCGTCTTGGGGCTGTCCTCAGTCGTCCTGGAGCGTCCTTGGGCGCCTCGTGGGGCTTTCGGGCCGCTCCGACAGCTAAGGGAGCTGATATCGTAAAAATGTACGTTTTACGATGGGAATGGGGCTATTTTGGTCTCCCGGGGCGCTCGTGGGGGGCCTCTTGAAGGCCTCTTGGGGCGGTTTGAGCGCGTCTTGACCCTTCTGGAAGCGATCTGTGGCGGTCTTGAAGCGATCTTGGGGTTCTCTCGGCGCTCCTGAAGCCCTCTTGGGCGGGCTGGAACGCGCGGGGGCCGCCGGAAGGGCGCCCCGGGAGAGGGCCGCACCCTATATACAAGGGAGGTTCCGGCCCGGGGCCCGGGGCCCGGGATCTCCCATATATGTATATGCAAGAATGGTCGAAGCATCGTCCCCTGTTTTTTGTTGTGACTATTTACTGGAGACTCCTCCTCGAGAGGGACATGCCCGACTCCACGCCAGCATGCCAGAGCAGCCCCGCTCCAGGCTTCATGCCTTGTGCGGCGCCCCAGGGGCCACGCCGGCGGCGGTGCCGCCGACGGCGGCGACGGCAACGCGAGGGCGGCGGCAGAGACGACGGCACGCTGCGCCTGACGAACCAACAACACACACCCATTCCCATGGTGGGATCGGAGAGGGCTATGGCTGCGTGTTGTCGGATGGGGGTCCCCGCTCGAACGGGAGCGTTCCCCAGGGTCCGACAACCCGCACCCATACCCATAGCCAGCCCTCCTCCCAACGACCCCCCTATGGGTACTCCAGATTTCGTAATAAAAGGGAGGGGGTCTGGACCCTCCAAGACAAGCCATTTCAGACCCCCCCCGTGGGAGAACCCTCCAAAACATCGTCCCCAGACCCCCCCAGGCCCTCCAAGATAGCCTGGAAGAGACCCCCCACGAAATGAGACCCCCCTCCATTGATTACGAAATCTGGAGTATGGGTGTGTGCTGTTCGTTCGTCAGCGCCGGCGACGACGACGCCGCGGGCGGGCGGCGCCAGGGGCAAGCGGCGGCGGC